ACCTTCTTTCATTTCCCAGATTCTGGACTTTATCTATTGACCGGTTTTGATTTTTATTTTGATCTATTTTGAATTGCGTGACACTGAAAACCAGCGATAAATGAGGGTAAAAGACGCCGTAAACTTGCCGTAAACAAAAATAAGTGAATTTTATTCAAAATGACGCGAACATTGTCAATAACTTTTCTCGCTTTTTGGTTGGTTACTTAAAAAAGTCCATAAAATCTCATTGGTTAAAAAGTTGACAGTTTGAAAGCTGAAAGTTGAACTTGAAAGCTTGCAACAATTAAAATTTTATCCATCTGTACTCTTATTGATGATAAAAATGAGCCAATCAGCGCGCGAGGAAGTAGAAAGTTATTGTAAAAATACGGTTTTCACATTTCCCCAGCGTAGTGTGAACGGAGAACATTGGACGCGTTTTCACGGGGGTATATTGTATGGGTGGGGCCTTGATGTTGGTTATGGGAAGAATATTAAATGGGAATCAAAAGATGATCTCGTCTCTTGTTGAAAAACAACTGAAGAAACTAAATCAAGGATATCGCTCTGAAACAAACGAATAAAATCAAAACTGTATAGATATAGTCAAGATGTAACAAAAATAGAGGAAGTTTATCGTTCGCAAAATTTTAGCTGCTTGTATTGATGATTGTAGAACTAGTCGGGCAAAACCATAATATTGAAGTGTCTGCTTTTTTGCGAGACTAAGCATCTGTTTCGTGAACAGCGACTGCATGTGACCAATGAGAAGTGACTTTCAGGCTACTATTCTTGATATTGTGTTATGAGAAATAAAGTTCGTACAAACGACTTACCCACGACATAAAGAAAACCGACAAACGAACCTCAAACACACCGACTTAATTTGACTAACAATAAACGGATCGAAAATTACTAGAACAAAATGTAAAAAAATATATACTTAATTGGCCACTCCCCATTATTGGGGCTTTTCAGGACCAATGCGAACCAGCAATGATAAATGAATATTCAAATAAACATAACTAGGTTAAGAATCCCAACTGGCGGGAGACAGACCAGTTGACTATTTACAAGCGCAGCCGAGAAGTTGAACTCGGGGCTACCGAGAACAACATCAGCTAGTGGTCAGAACGAGACTTGAACCCGGCACCTACGGATTTCAAATCCGGCGCTCTAACCACTCGGCCAGGCTGCCTCCACGAACCGGCCAAACTTTACACGAGTCTTTCAGTCAATACCATCACGGCTAAACTGATCATTCAGCCACGCCTTATAATTCCATCGATTGACAAACGCGATTCACTTGACTCTGAAGATGACTTCCGCTCAGGTTGCTGACACATCAGTCACCAACAACAGTTCTTTTCAGAACTACCCTCACCCGGACGATCAAACTATATGAACTACTGATACCCGTGGGTTCAAAGCATTTATCATGATACCGACTTAATTTCACGAGCAGTTCTTTTCATAACTAATATCATCCGGACAATCACTCAAAATGAATTACTGATACTCCTGGGTTCAAACCATTTACTACGTCAGAATTATGTTACAGACAAGAATAACTGTGAGGAAAAGTCACGAACACGCGATCAACAAGCTTGCAGGTCCGCAGCTGGTAACAGACCAACCGAAGCAAAATTTTTTGACGTTACTCTTTTAAATTCAGGATCTTGTAACAGGCTATGCGTTAATCAAAAATCAGCAGACATGAAAGAAATACACTTTTTTCTGATAATGCCTGAGAAACGACCCTGGCTTGCTGTTTACGGTTGAAGCCGGATTGCGCTTCTTTTGTTAGTCTTCGAAATGTTTTGTGTGGTTACAATTGTAAAATAAATCAGGCTTGAGCCAAGTCAAGGGGTGTCTGTGCCAGTGAGGTTAGCTTTAAGATCTCTCCAGACATCCATCTTCATCTCTCGTGATTGAGCCACATCTGCTAGCTGCAGTATGTGTTCTCCGATTATTTTCTCTTTTCCGAGTTTGTCGTGTCCATAGAGCCTGATTCGAATTGCCATTCTAAACAAGTCCTGCTGTAAAATGCGGTCAAACACAAACTTTTCGTCGAATTTAGGACGTGACGTCGACCGCGACTTACTTTTGAAGCGCTGCCTTCTTGAAGGAAGCAGTAGCAGATGAAATCGACAGTGTGAACTGCCTCCTCGACTTTTAGAAGGAAGCTCCCTGGCTTCTAAGATGGTTACAGCCACACGGCCTACTTTAGCTGAATATTCGGCTTGAAAATGAACACTGCCAAACACTGGCACGTGATCGACTTCTTTAAGTCCTGTATCTACTTGAATGTCCCCGTATGCAGACACAATTTTTTGAACATCGTCTCCCTTATCCACTTCAAAAATTGGCAACTTCTCAGGGGATTCGTCCCCAGGCGGTGCTCCACCTTTTTCTTCCTCAGGGTTCTCTTCCTCTTCAGAAGTGTCTGTGGGCTCCTCCCCAAGCTCTTCGTACCCGGCTCCCTTGTTCTTCTGGGGAGGCTCCATCTTGGAACAGGGGCATAGCTCTTTCTTTAGGCAGTAATATGTGGCCAGGAGACCGATTAAAATAAATACAATAAACACCAAGAAAATGACAGCTGGAACATACCCTGAAGGAAAAAATGTAAAGGCATATCATTAAACATCATCATTTCCACTACTTACTATCTTTGGTACCTGCTGTGTACAAAAGCTTTTTAAAAATATCTTTCTGTTAACAACTATTACGTTTTAGTGGTGTACTAGGAAACCAGATTTGCATTATGTGGGACAAGCTAAGTGTACGAAATGATTGATTGACTGACTGACTGACTGACTGACTCACTATCTGACTGACTGACTAACTGACAGACTGACTGACTGACTGACTGACTGACTGACTGAGTGACTGAGTGACCGAGTGACTGAGTGACTGAGTGACTGAGTGACTGAGTGACTGAGTGACTGAGTGACTGAGTGACTTAGAGACTTAGAGACTGACTGACTGAATGAATGCATGCATGCATGGTTGGTTGCTTGGTTGATTGATCTCAGCATCCACTGAGGAATGGGCAAAGTAGTCCGCTTATAATTAAGCTGCATCCCTGAATGATCTTCTGAAAAAATACTAGCACATACTAGAACATAGCTCATCTAGTAAACAAGTAAGTAGGTTAGTTGGTAGGTAAAAACTTTATTTAAGTACCGATGGATTTAGCTTCAGAGAAACAGTAATTATCATAAAAGTTTGAAGTTAAAGATTTGCTCATGATACCATATTAAAAGTGTTTCACTGAACATAATCTGCAAGTGTCATCTGGCCGCCCTCCCTCCCAGATTATTCTAATTTAGCGATGTTTCCGCCCGACTGAAAAAACAAACCACAGAAGACGTAGTAAATATCGATACAACGACTTCAACCAAAACGGCGGGATTTTAACAGGGAGTAAAAACAGTGACTTGTTATTTAAGTTTTACATGTAAATGATTGACAGTTTTTGACAAGTTTGCTCTTAAATGACGTCAATATATGGTGTGTAAAAAGCTATTTAGATTAAACAAGGCATTGAATTAAATTGAATTCAACTCTAAAAAACGGAATTTCAGTCTATCAACCTGCACGGAATTCAGCATAACTGAGTGAAACCTCACTTCTCCAAGAATTAAAAACATGCATCCAGGCTTCGGAAATAACTGTTGTATAGTCATCAACTTAACACTTATAAAAGCTTTTAATTAAGACGAATGTGCCCTTTAATTTCCATGTCACTTCCCTTGAAACAGCTTACCCATTCTTCTTCAGTTCTCTGTAGTTCGTATTGAACATCTTGTTTGTTAAGGTCAGGAATGAGCTATTGTCCTGTCTTCAGACATCTCAAACTTATAGCATTGTATTAAATTTCTTAAATTTTCACTTCCTTAGAAGAAGAAAGCATCAAACTACATGAGACCGAAATACGCTCTCCGAAATTTGGGCCGAGTTATACTAGCGAAATGTATAGAAAACTGTTCTGAGAAATGTTGACCCCTTTTCGAAATTTTCTCTTTTGTTCAAACTGTCATCTGTCTCATCTGTGATCCATCATCTCCACTATTCCTTAGAACAGAAGATGACAAATCCAGAAAGAAAATAGCGGGCCTTTGCCCTGAGTGAATCAAAGCAGCTTCGCTTACCGGATGGAATAAGACTCCACTCCATTTATCTTCCCGCCTGTGTCTTCAGTTTCAAGAATGTTTTTAGGTTTTTATACAAGTTCAAAGCACTGGCTGTTCACTTCTGTTACTCTCCAGTAAACGTTCTCTGTACATCGCTTGGAAAGCCTGCGAAAAGTCTGTGTTTTTCATTATAATTCGACTTGAGTCGTGATGGACAGTGCGTTCACAAGTTTTTGACGTTTTAATGTATGGATGTTTAACGCGATCATTCTGTTACTGCGGTTACCGTCGTCGAACATTCAAAAGTTTGCTTATTGTATTTACTTAGTTCAAATTTAGACTTTCCTGTCACAAAAGAGGCGCACTTTGGGTAAAGTGGTGTGTTTATCATATGTCAACACTTTTATCTCTAAGAGTGATTAACAACTGTTTTCTCCTTTCACAACGCCCTAAAACGTTGTCATGCCAACACAGCCGAAGTTTTAAAAGTTTTGTCAAAAAGTTTTGTAAGAAAATTTACAAACCTATTTAAAAGGTTGCGGAAATGTAATAGTTCAGTCTCGCAACAGTCCATTCCTTGAGTACAAGCTCACCTCCAGCTCCTTCTACCAAATGTAACGACCCTCCGAAATGACTAAATTATGTCTTTTCCCTTTGTGGAGAATATGACCCTCGCAACTGACTTACTTACAACTTTTCCCTCTGCGGAGAATATGACCCTCCCAACTGACTTACTTATAACTTCTCCCTCTGTGGAGAATATGACCCTCTCAACTGACTTACTTATGTCTTTTCCCTTTGTGGAAAGTATGATCCTCTCAACTGACTTACTTATGTCTTTTCCCTTTGTGGAAAGTATGACCCTCTCAACTGACTTACTTATAACTTCTCCCTCTGTGGAGAATGTGACCCTCCCAACTGACTTACTTATAACTTTTCCCTCTGTGGAGAATAAGACCCTCCCAACTGACTTACTCATAACTTTTCCCTCTGTTGAGAATATGACCCTCGACACTGACTTACTTATAACTTCTCCCTCTGTGGAGAATACGACCCTCCCAACTGATTTACTCATAACTTTTCCCTCTGTGGAGAATACGACCNCTCCCAACTGACTTACTCATAACTTTTCCCTCTGTTGAGAATATGACCCTCGACACTGACTTACTTATAACTTCTCCCTCTGTGGAGAATACGACCCTCCCAACTGATTTACTCATAACTTTTCCCTCTGTGGAGAATACGACCCTCCCAGCTGATTTACTCATACCTTTTCCCTCTGCGGAGAATATGACCCTCTCAACTGACTTACTCGTAACTTTTCTTTTTGTGGAGAATATGACCCTCCCAACTGAATTACTTGTAATTTTTCCCTCTGTGGAGAATACGGCCTTCCGAACTAACTCTTACCGTATCGTCACTTTTTCCTCTGTGGAGAATATCGCCCTCCCAACTGACTTACTTATGTGTTTTCCCTCTGTGGAAAATATGACCCTCCCAACTGACCGGCTTAGTTATGTCTCTACCCTGTGTGAAGAATATAGCCCTCCAAACTGCTGGGCTAATTGGGAACACTATAAATCGAGAAACGAATATAGTTGTAAATAGAACTGAAAACATTACTTAAGTGTACCAAGATGGATCAGCTTACACGTGGTACCCGTTTTTGCAACGCTTCTTTCCCCCTCCCCTCAAAAGACGTGACTGGAAAGGCTGCCAAATCCGAAGTAACAAGTGTCGTCACTTTCACAACTTTACTGTATTGTAGAATACCGTTGTGAAATCTTTGATCAAAGGATCACAAAAACAGAATTCCAAATGTACTCATGTATTCCAGTTCGAGAGCAAATATGAATATCGTGACATACACAAGATGTAGCTGGATGTTTATGTTCAATATTTATCATGATAACCGACTTGACTGATGGCTGTGCATTGACTGCTGGTCACGCGATCGGTATACTGATGTGTTCAAGAACAATCTGAATAGTTTATCAAATGACTCACTCCCGAGGACTCAAGGAACAATCCTTAATAAAAAAAAAAAGATAGACTAGATATATACATGATTTTAGATTCTTATTGTATATTTCCAAATGTTATTGTTTTATAAATATTTAGTTTCGGTACAAACGAACCCACAAGCTTCTTAGCTTTTGATTCCATCGTTTTAAAGTAAACGGCTATCTATCTAGTTATTAAACATTGCATGTAAATGTATTCTGCTTTTGGGTGAAATGCGCGGGTTTTTAATTAATCGACCGGCAGATATACCGATCTCAGTTTAAGTAACTAGTACCGCTTTGGGATATTTGTAATTAGATCTCAGACAGCGCCGCAGTATTATATAATCACGCATTGATGTCAAACGTAAAGCCGCCGTGTTTATTCAACTTGCTAACTGTCAGAGCGTTGCGGATGAATCGCGCGCGCTGAGCTAACTGTGAACTAAATTATGTCAAACTACCTGATGCACGAGCAGATCGAGGCCCTGGGATCGAGGACAACCGTAAAAAAGGCATAGGCCTATATGTTAGTTTACTCGTGAGCGCTTAGAAACAAGAGGAAGCTAGAGATACCAAATGTTTTACTTTAAACTTTGGTGCATGCCTTTGTTGTTCCGTTCCCGGCTTAAAATCATGAATGGAAATAAGTTGAACGAAACAATAGTCTGAATAATTAGTGCAACTGGTCAATGCATGTAAGAATTCAAACAAAGTTTTGATAATTTATCAGTCACTACAGTAACTGCAATTGTGGTTTGCGAGTTTTATCTCGATGGTTTATCTTTGTCTGAGGTATTACAGAGCAATGACATGAACTTGAGATGAAAAGACCCATTGCACTGAGCCCTAATGTTAATTTCTGATTATTAGTCATTTGAGGTAAAATGCATTCAGCTGCATCGAACTTCAGAAGATATTCTTGACTTATGCTCTTCCTTCCTGACCACCAAAAAAATTATTTATTTCGGGAAAAGCGAGCTGTGCTCTTTGTGCTACAAACTCTATTCTTGACATTCAACAGGTTCTTATTTTGCTTAATTAACAATTAACAAACAGGCGTAAAATGCACGCAAGCTAACTGGGGTATTCTCCATGTAGAAGTCAACGAAGTCTTCTTCCCCTCAGAGAATAACAGTTTGTCTTGATCGGTTAAACCCTCCACAGCTGGTGGAGCTTTACTCTGAGACTCCTACCGTAATTGTTTGTTTTCTAGTAATTGATAAACTATTTTACGCCAGGATCACTCTTACTTTAAGTTTGGCCACCAGTCCTTTCAATGATATCTCAGCCGGGTGGTTCATCATTTTTCATTCCTGAGGAACTGAATGCTAGAAAGATATCTCAGAACATATACAAACCAGGGCTGTAACAGTTCGTTGGCTACTCGTTGATTCGGAATTCGTTAATGCACGTATCGACTAATCCAACCGACACCGAGAAAGCGCGCACTGAAACAAGCAGACTTCTCTCTAGTATGGGTTCAAGCTAGCATGGTTTCACATGATGAACGAGTTAATTACACTTAAGTTATAAATGGTCAGCACTCAGTAGTTAAAAATTGCAGCACTACTTACAATCCATGTCGAGTTGACGAGAATCTTCTTTGATAAACTAAAGGTTTCACGCTCCAAGAGGCAAATAATTCCAACACATCCCGAGGAAGTTTTCTGACTCCAGAAAACTTTTTAGTGGCAGCCAGAAAAGTGGGTCAAACAGCAGCCGCATAAAATGGAAAAAAGGATACGAAACGAGGGTAACTGAATGTATTGACCAAGTGAAATGACAGCGACTGATCACTTTGGAATGGAATTTCAATGAGTATCTTTTATGCGTGAGAAACACTTGAAAGTCAATTCTGCATTCATTACAGAACGTCTTTTATATCGGTGACTTAAGGTGTTTTGCATAACAAAGAGAGGTTTAGATAAGACACAAGGCGCCCTGAACAGACCTCTCAAAGCACGTATTGAGCGTCACTGGGGACATCGCAAGCGAATACGTCTGTATTCATTCATATCAAATCAAAAAGACACAACTCACATCATATCCGGGTATGTCCACAGACAGTTCCGTGACCTAATCTGTTCTCTAACCTGGTCTCTCTGCCGGCAGCGGCGTAATTATGCCCACAAACCACTACTTTTATCGTCATTTTTCCAGTTTCCTTTTATTATATCTTCTAAATTCCTGATAGAAAAGGATAGAATTTTTAAAAAGGCAACTTCTATCAAGATGATCATCAGTTTACAGACCTTTACACATGTAACAGTTGAAATTGATTCAACAACTGATAACTTAGGCCAGGAACGTAGGCTCCTGCTTAGGCCTCGTCGACACTACAGCGGCGAAATTTGAAAATGGCGTTTTCACTCTGAAAGCACATCAAATGTTTTCCGACCACTCTACGCCGGAGAAATTTGAACATACTGACAACAATAACCGGTCCTTTTGGATTATTGTGATGACATCCGTTTCGAAAAGCTCTATTTTCAAAATGTTTTCCGTCCACTGACACTAAAACGTAAAGCTGGCGTTTTCAAATTTCTCCGGTTTCAAGAGCTTTTCCAAAAAGCTGTGGAGGGTAGTTCTAACCGTAGAAATAAAGCTGCGTTTTCAATTTTCTCCGGCGCACGTAGCGTGGACGGAGCCTAGAACAATGAAACTGACGGCTAGTCAGTAACAGTCTGAAGAAAACGATAAGAAAAAGAAGAAGAAGAAAAAGGAAAACTTTTTATCAGGGAGGTACAAAGTAACATCAAGTAACCAAGCCGTAAACCAGAGATTATTTTAGCGAGCGGTCTAGGTTCTAGTCCTGGCCGGCGTCATTGCGCAATGTTCCTGGCCAAGAAACTTAACTTTCATTACGTCTCTTTCCAGCCCATGAGACGTTATAATTAATGTTGATCGGTATTAAACCCCGCGATGGATTAGCAGGCCATAAGCGGGGGGNGGGGAAGAAAGACATACTCCTAGTCGCTCAGTTAATGCTGCAGAAACCGGGATAAGCCCGACGAAGATTTGACGTGAATGATACCATTCAAATGCAACAATGTCCAACGAATCAGGTTCTAGAATCGGGAAAAGGGGGCAAATAAAAGGCGGGATATCACTAGTTAGTGAGTGAGCCTGTATCAAGTCTTTGAAGGATGAACTGGGAGAGGAGCAACATAATTTTGCCGCAAGCAACGCCGCAAGCGATTAGTTGGTCCTGGGCACTGGGAATCTCACGGTTTAGGACTGGGCCAAAACAACAAGAAGTGCGTCGAGTTTCTTAGTTTCTAACGCGGAAAGAGAAAGATAATTGTGATAGTTCAAGTTTCTGTTAGTATGTGATGTCGAGAAAAAGTTATGGAACGTTTTTGAATAGTCTCAGCTCAGACAAAACAGAGCTCAGATCGATTGGTGAGGCAACTGGAGCAGACCAGGTAACGAAATATTCAAACGAGATCCACACTTGGTGAAATTAAACTAATCGTATTCCTTTTGTTTGCGGTTTTTGTCATTGTTCCTATTCTGCTTTATTTATTTGCCATTTCACTATTTCGTGTTGTGATTAGTCATGAACATAGGCTTATTAGCTTTTTAAACATCTTTAACAGCTTATTTGCAGTCATCCGCCATAAGGATGACTGCAAATGATTCCTGTGGGCGATGACCACAAATGACTCTTAAAGGTTCTCTGTTGGGCTGAGGATAGAAATAGCTATTAGATTTGAATATTTTCGCATAGAATGACTTTAAAGTAGACCTGGATGAATTCCATGTATGTCTTAAGATTTTCAACTACAATTCCTGACTGAGCTGTTGGTGTTCATTGGTAATAATATTATTGTTCTTTAAAGCCATTGGGGATCATGTGTACTAAAGGCATCCACGGTTGAGTGTCGATCGATACCCTTGATCGACCCTCGATCGACCCTCGATCGATTCTTGGACAATGCTCCATCAACACCTCGGTTGACACTCAATCGACACTCCATCAACGGCTCGGTCGACAGTCAGTTGAGAGTCAACTAATTTTCAATCGATTCATATGAGTCAATCGACACTCGGCCGACTTTCGACTGACTGTTGATCAAGTGTCAATAGAGTGTCAGCCAAGATGTTAATTGAGTATTGATTGAGATGTCAATCGAGGCTATCGATTGAGAGTATCGATCGACACTCGACTGCAGATGCCTTTAGTGCACATGACTGCCGTTTGTTGGGAAGGAGAGTGTGATGAGCCAAAATAATGTCTCATGTAGGAGGCTAGGTTGAATGTCTTTTTCAATGTTTCTCAACAGATGAACATCAGTGTTACCCAGCCCTTTTACCCAGTGTTCCCAAAGCAAGATGTGATGATGCAAAACAGACTTCCTCTTCTCTGCCATACATTTGTACACTGGAAATCAAGCCTTGGAGTAACTTGTATCTTGATCTGTCTCCATTTAAGTATAATTGGGTTATTTACACTATCACTGACATCATATGAAGGCTCTGCAACTTGGCATTCCATAGCTCAGTATCTTTTCTCTTGTGGTACATTTGGATTCACTGGAGGCTGTGTGAACCATTTAGCGGTGACCTTATTTTTTAAAAGAATTCCTGGTCTTTGTGGAAGCGGGTATGAGATGTAGCAGGTTAATTTTAATGATTAATTTTTGGATTACTTCAGAAAATATCCATATCTCTGCCACAGAAGGTTTGCTGGTTTGAACCACCTATGCTTCTGGAAATTACAGTGTAGCTTACATATGTGAACTTTATTTAGTCTTGAATTTACGGAGTAGCACCCAGATGCTAATATCTTCAAGCTAACTACGTTAATAACTGATCACAATAAACAAGTTACTTCAATGTAATAAACGAAATAACTAACTACCTAAACAACTAAATATGCTAACAAATGAGAATAGGCCACCAGTGATGCTTTTCCAGCTTCACTTGACCTGAGCTTTCCTCTCCTGCAGCATCCAGGCATACCTGATCATCTTTAAACCCTTTCCAAGATCCTCTCTTCCATTAACCCTGTAAACCCTAATGCTACTTGCTGGTTTCCCTAGCATGTGACCCAGCCATCTCTACCTTCTTTGGAGAATCTCTTCATCAACTGGAAATTGTTATGCTCTTTTTCATAAGTCCTCATTCCAGATAGTTTCTGGTCAGTAGATATTATTTCTTATTTCAGACTTTACAACAACCTTCCTTGGGTGGGTATGGATGTTTCTTGAAACTGCAAATTACAGGGCTGGCTATTACACATGAATTTTCACTGCTGTCAATGGTCTCGATGGACCACACAGGAGATAGGAATTCCCTTTAATGGATTCAAAAGGTCATGTCTGTTGGTTGTCATCGGTAGATTTAGCTCATTTTGTTTCGTGTTCTCAAAGTCTGTTGATTGTTATGGTAATTATTATGATTGATGAAAATGCAATCATTAGTTAGGTTTTCAACTTCATAGTAAATAGCATGTTTTGAAAGGCATAGAAAGTTAGTCAGAGACTAAGTACAGTGTAATGTGTACTTGATAGTTATGTTGATTTTTTTTCTATGACAATCCACAAGGGGAAAACATGGAAATTATGTTGTATACCAACTGACTTTGTAGCAGGAAGAACACTAAGTTAGAAGAGTCATTCACTAACTACTCCCATGGTTTAAATGTTATCAGGATATTTAACCGCTTCTGATGTTTGCTCATTCACTCTCTCTCACTATCTCGTGTTATGTCAGTTTTTTTACAACTAGAAATGAAATATCCCTTGTAATCAATGTAGTTGAATAATTTACAATGGCTTCAAAGGATTTTATCAACCTGCTTTCACAAAAGCAAAAATATTTCAATAGACAGTCACAACAAACACACACACCACAATGATCCAATGAGAACCTGAAGTAGTCTATGTCTATATCTATTTATATGTTTATGTCCGTGTCTGTGCCCGTGTCCCTGCCCCCGTCAGTGTCTATAGCTATAGCTTTGTCTATTTGTATGTCTGTGGCTATGACTCTGTCTATTTCTATGTCTATCTGTGTCTATGTCTATAAGTAGAAACTGAGAACCACTTCCAATCACAGCAAAACCTGAGTGACCAAGTCATGAATGATTCTGTTTTGGTCTCTGCTTTGTGGAGCAGTTGGTATAAATGTTTTAAACCAATTATCAAACTAAGTTAGGGAATTAAAAGTATTACAGGATTGCTTTCAACACTAATGATAAAACTGCTCTTAAACTGCTCTAACGTGCAAGTCCTGTTGTAAAATTGAAATTATTTGGTAGTTTGTGCATGGGAAACAGGAAAAAAGGAGCATACTCATGACAAAATATGGACGGTCAGAACTGAGGAGTATTGATTTATTTTTTTTGGCATTGAAAACCCAACTTACACACATGTAGTGTTTTGACACTGTTTATGACACTATAATGCAAGATTTTTGTCATTTTATGAAACTTCTCTGGTGACTGCTACATGTTTTTGATTACATTTTTGAGATCCTGCATTGACTAACCAAAGTAGTGAAAGAGCATTTTTGATCACTTCTATTGTGTGATCAAATTCTGTCATCTTGAGTATTGATGCATAATTTATGCTCATATGGTTAAAGCAGTCATGTTTTCTCTCTCCAGGATTGTTTACAATCGCTATCAAGATATTTGTGAAAGTGTGAGGACCTCAGTTATCAATACCCTCTTTGATGAGACATTTTTAGAATTGTACAGCACAAAGAAATTAAACCAACAAATAGTGCAACTGAATGTTGAAGGACATCTGCAGAGAATATTACAGTCAGAGGCAGTTGATAAACTTATTGGTACCGAGCTTCATAATTTGGCAACGTCCCCAGAAGGACAGCTTCTGTCTAGTGCTGGCATTAAACTTTCATCTCTTAGACCACTGGTTAAACCCTATGTAGTTGAACTATTGACTGATGTAGTTCCTGTTGTTATGGAGCAATTGTCCTCCTATGCTCAGGTAGGCAAATTAGAATAACATTACTTGTACTGCTGTATCGTGGCATATGTTGGCATTAGGTTCATCATATGGCTCCAGTCTTAGGTTGTTTAGATCAAGTCTGGCCAAATTGTGTCATCTTGTTTTTGTTTGCTGAAACATATGAAGTTGAAAGTCTCAGAATCTTCTTCTCCACCTGGCAATACTTTCTTCAAGAATAAATGTTAATTATTGCACTTTGATTATGATCAATTTGCATTGTGGTTGGTTATTGATGTGTGGTTAAATAAATATGCAGTTCCAGAAAATATCCGTACTCCCCACTGGAATGACATGATTGTAATTCTCTGGTGAAAAACCTTAACAGAGCTTACAATGTCTTTAAGGTCCTACTCCCACCCTTAGAATTTTGTAAGATCTTGCAAAGATGTTTGTAAGGACCCTNGGGGGTCTTAGAAAAAATCCTTTCGTGGGGGAGGTTTGTATACTTTCTGGAGCTGCACAATAAAAAGGAGAGAAATTTCAATATTTAGAGAGGAAGCCACATCAGCCTAAGCTGGTTTTCATGCAGGTCCTCTCTCCTGGTTGAATTTAAATTTGGAGTGTCAGGTTTTTGGGAGGGAGGAAGGAAAACCAGAGTATCCAGAGAAAAACCTTCGCAGTAAGGATGAGAACCAACAACAAACGCAAGCCACATATTGCACTGGGCCAGAATAGAACCTGGGCCACATTGGTGGAAGGCAAGCCATCACACCATTGTGCCATCCCTGTTCCCCATTTCATCATCAGTAAGACAGGCCAGATGACTATCAGGGTATTTTGTTCATTTTAAACAATTTTTTTACAGACTTGGGGCTGATAGATGCATGGCAACATTTTTTGGACATATTTAACTTTCATATTGTAAAGAAAAATGTCTCCTTTTGAATTACAGGGTGAAGGCATAAAAAGACTACAACAGGAAGTTAAAAGATACACAACAAGGAAAAAAGATGAAGTGTCCTCTGAAAGAGTAGAGCTATTAATAAGAGAAATTATCTATAGCCATTTAAATCTTTTGATTGTACTAGGTTGTGCTGTTGGCATATCCCTTGGCATAATATCAAAACTAACAGGAGTAGGTCAAGTGCTTTAAATTTCTAATATAATTTTAACTTTATCATATTAGTAAATGGAACTATTGCTAATTCTAGCATTTTCAGTTAGTTTAATTAAATATATTTTTCATGTGGCACTGTTTCTTATGTCACCAAAATTGTATGTGTGGTTCATAAAGAAGGCAAAAGGTGCTCATATTGCTCATGAGATTTCTTGTATAAACTGTCAAATTTATTTCTTTTTTTCTCTTATTTATTTCACAAATGATTCCTGTTTTGATCCTCTTGGCTAAAAGTTAAAAGTTTCAAACCATTGGCAGAAAGCCGAACACCTTGCTTGTGGTTTTGTTATGGTAATGTCAATTTAAAAAGTCAATTTATAAGCCTCAACATTGAAAATACATGCATGCCATGACATTCCAGTAGTCCTACGTTTTTATGATATACAAAATTGTTGTCACTCAAAGGACATCAATGAAAAAAGTTCTTATCTCTTTCAAGACAGTTAAACTTCCTTTTAATGTGGCTCGACGGTCTGTGTAAAAAATACCTCTGTCAAGATGGCATTTATATTGGGGAGCTTTAGATTGGACTATGAGTACGAGACTGAGTACGAGTACGATTTTCAATTTTCAAATCAGTGACGTTTCCAGAGTCTTTGCTGTTCATGCTGGTTTTATGCAGAGAGGGTAGCTCATGGGATGAGATGGGTGTGTGTTGTGATAATGTGAAGCCTGAAAACTAGAATTGAAAAGTCGTCCTTTTACTCGATCTCGTACTCGCACTAAAATCTTAAGTCCCCTATTAACACTAGTTTTAACAGCAGCTTACAGTAAATAGAAAATGGCATTTCAGGGTATTTTTTGGCAGCAAAATAATTCATTCATCATCATCATCATCATCATCATCATTATTCATCATCAATGGTAAATTCCCATGGATGAAGTTAAATTTAATATTCAATCTTTTATTTCTGTTTGATTTAAGTTTTTTTCTTATCATAGATAGATATACTGAAATAAACTTTATTGAAAAGTAGAATAAAAGAGCTAACAGAAATATCTTTGTTCATAGTGATTTTGTATTTAGAGTTGTGCCAAGCAGCAAAGTAATTGTGTGAACGCACACACTGTGATTGAGCGTCAACAGACATTCTGTCCTGCTGCTTTGAATGATGAGTACAAGGTCCAGCATTTAACGTTAAATTGTTCTTGTTCTTTTCATTGATTTCATTCTTTACTTATGGTGGACTCATTCACTGATAGTGATTGAGACTTCTTTGCACGTCCAAGAAATGTATCATCATCTTGATCTGTTACCCCCTAGTACACAAAAAATTCCTCAGTGTCAGGAACTGATGTAATTTTTAGTCATGTTGCAATGGTAATGTTATATCATGTCTACAGTATTAAACTGTGTGCTAGTCCTGTCAGTACTTTCTAGTAGTGTTTGACACAAACCTGGAATGCACTTTGCAGTCTGCAGACAGGTACTATATCATCTGCTTGTTCTTCTGCATAACAATCCAGTGTATGAATGTCCTTCAGTGTCTGTGGGAATGGTGTTTTGTCATTTTCCATCCAAAAAACATCCTGAGTTAAATCTTCTGGCCAGTCTTTTGAACTTGTGGCTTTTCTATTTGTTATCAATGCACTTTCACAACACCTGAGTTTGGCCTTTGGGCCTGTAATATCTGGCATTACTTCGGTAGTAGGGAGTGGTGTGCCTTTCTCGACCTGTTCCATAAAGCATGGTCGTTCTTGTACAATAGCTGAAGATCTTTGTTCTCTCACTTCCTGCACCTCTGACAGAAGAAGTGATCTGGCACAAGTGCCTGGGTCTACTGCATCTTTTGCTTCATGATCAAACCGACAGTTTTCTTGACTGGATGAATCTTCATAAAAAGATATATCTCCTGCAGCCAGATCATCAAAATAGTCCTCAGCTCCACCTGCCCCACTGTTGGGCTCGTCATTCTGAAATGCCTGTCAAGAAACACGATAGCCAAAAAGGACATTACTAAATTTAAGCTTATCTGTTGCCATAGTTATCTTTTGAACTTTGGCTGTATTACTCTGAGGAAATAGATTAATAAATGATTGCACAAACAAGATCTATAAATTAAATTAAATTAAATAAGCAATTTATTAAAGGACTAATTCGTACAGCATTATTTAGATCATTCGAGCTGACATTTGTTGGAAAGTATTTCTGTAATGTATGACTGGTAATAAGAAAATATTTGTGTTTGGTTTGGATCAACAATTGTCGAAAGATTAGCAATTATGTGCAATTTGTCCATACATATACATTCACTGTAATAAAAAATAGCGTTCACATAAATGTTTAATCATGCTTAAACTTAATCTTACCTCGATAATCGTTTTTTCCTTTGCTTCACCTACCGAGACATTTACACCAGGGGCGATCTGTGGTCGTAATAAAATAAAGCCACACGAGGAAAAAAATGAAACCACAAGAAAAAATGTTGAAAATCAAAGAATTAAACAACTGAAGCATACTTGGCTTTCGCCATCAACACATTGTTTTACATTCAGTTTGGAAGTCGCAATATTCCACAATCTCTTCTTTAGGGCTTTGTAAAATTCATTCTCATCTTTCACCTACAAATGTAGCAAGAACGGAGTTGTTGGAAAGCAGGTAGAAAGTGTTTCGACGAATTTCAGTAATATACCTTACCAGAAGCATATCACCTAGCTGATATGCTTCTGATCTTACCTAACGTTAGCTATAAAGAGCTTTTTCAGCCTAATAACAGTGAGTTTATCGTCATGATGGTCACGCATAATATTCAAGTTTTTCTCTCATTTCTACTGATTTGTTAACTGTCAGCCTACCTTGACTAGTTTAAGGCATTCTGCTTTAAAATTCTCGTTGTTGCTGAGACTAACCACCGTTTTAATGGCACTTGCAATATTTGGAATTGCCTTTCTCACCAAGCCGTGTTTCTGGTAAGTAATAAACGAAATGCTTCAAATAAGCTTGATCTGAAACTTCAACGAAACGTTTTGTTACTGGTCATGTTCTTACCTTTTCTTGCCGCTCTACAGTTTCAGTTAATTGTTTTTGTTTGTCACGATCTGATTTGTTATTAGACATTTTACACTCTCTCAGAGGTTTCTCGCCGGACCCGCCAGTTCAATGTGCGCAGAGTTTGTCCGCAGTATTTTTGGCGGGAATTTACGTCTTACGCAGGGCTCTTATATGTAGCCCGGCCTTTTTCCGCCCTGTCTTACGCGCAGATTCGGTTGGATATAGATTTATCCAAGCTTAAAAGCGGAGTTCCTGATTGCAATAACTACTTACTTATTCTCACTAAATTTAGCGATTCGTGAAATTTAATACTCGCGAAATATAGGACATGCGAAGATTAAAATCGCGAAATTTAATACCCATATAATATCAATGATGAAATTCAAGCTGTTGTTTTATGACTGTTATTCCAACATGTCTCGGCTTCATGTTTTTTTTTGATTTTGTCCATCAGTTTTCTTCCGCTCTATCACTCTCGCTGTCAGAACTGTCCTCTGGCGGTAAGTTCTTCAAAAGCTCGCTTGTGCAGTCGTCAAACAGAACATGATAAGAAAAAAGTTTATCAGAGTCCCGGGGCCGGGATCAGAGTGTAAATATAGATGTATACCTATTGTGGAATATCGTGTGTACCTTATGCTTTGTTATGTTTGCTATTGTTTACGGTGACGATCATGTTAATTATGTTGTTACAGTTCTCAGGTCAAAGCTACATATTAAAGAATAGAAAAAAATCGCCAAATTTAATACGTTCCAATTCTAATTTCCTCTCAAAATCGCGAAATTTAGTACCCGGAAATATGGCGCTTGACCTTTCGCGAAATTTAGTGAGAATAAGGTAACCATAAAGAAAAGAGAGGATTTGTTTTCCTAGGATTAGAAACTCAAAAAAATGATAAAAAAGCAGATAATTGTTCAGCGTGTGGTTTCGCCTTTTTTTTCGAGTTAAATTTTAACAAACTGACGAGACGATTGTGCAAGGAGTATGTCGGAAGAGAAGTCAATAACGCGCCAGAGGTGAGTTTAACCCCCGGGTTTAACCACGTCTGGTTACAAACCAAATATTTTCAAAATAGTAGTATTAAAACGCCACGCATTTGCTATGAGCGCTCCCAATGCATGGTTGGACACATAAAATCCTCAACTGGTATATTGATATAGACATATCCTCTTTTATCAAATTTTATTCACGTTTTGAAGGATAGCCCTTGAGGGGTAGAGATCAACTCACACTGAAGCAGAATTATGCTAGGACTTATGCTTTTAAGTATGACTTTTTTTACATGTAATAGGATTGATGATGACATGTGGAGTGTGTTGCCACTATCAGTTCGTTAGGCTTCAAGTATTTCTGGTTTTAAAAACGGAGTAAGGGACTACTTAACTTCAAGAAATGTTTGATTTAGCTGTTGTAGGATGCTTTTATTTCATCACGTGGTCTGCTTTGCATGGGGATTAACATTTCTTGCCGACCATCCTTGTGGCATTTTTTCTTTTAATTGCATAGTATTTTATCTGGTCTTTGTGTTATCACTGGCCATTAAATTGTGATAAATAAAAATTTATATGGGTTGATGACATATTGGTCTATTTACAAAGTTTGGTGTCACAGCAAGTTTGTGATTGTTTCTTCAAGTTTGGGATGTATTTACTTCTCCCTCCGTGCCAGACCCTTCAGTGAAACTAAACAGGATTATATTTCAAAATACAGAGCACAGTACTAGAGCATTCGGAAAATTTTCAATGGCTCAATGATTTAGTCGTTCTCCGACGGTACGGGATGAAAGGCTCATTCATTCTACGTTTAGCCGCGAAATCGGTGTTGGCGCATATCGAGTGCCTCATAAACCGTTCAGCCCCAGGCCGCCCAGTTAAAATCAAGTTTGACTTAATCATGTATTCTTTGCGACTCGGGTGATATCCACCCGTTTCCAAGTCAGTCTCCAAGACTGAATTAGCAAAATTAACCAGAAATTGGATTCAGCCTGTTTGAAGAGCATAGCAGTCTTTATTCACAATCCACAGGGAATAACTTAGAAGCGGGTACTGTTAAAATACATCATAAAATAAAAAGTCTTAAAAATGTCAGAAACATGTTACTTGTCTACCCACCGCGAAATACCAACACAAGAAAGCTACAAATCAATTCTATTTGTGACCATAAGTGTATGAATATAAAAGGATACGTTAAAACTACTTTGTCCATTCACTCACGAACTTATTTATCAGAATTATAGCCGTCGCTTTACTCTTACATGAATCTATGAATTAAATAGTAGCACCTCTTTTGAAGACGCTTGCGTGACTTGCACTTGTGTTACTTAACGAGGCTTTAGAGATATCACAATTAACTGTAATAGCATGATGTAGCATGTTCACATGATGTCCATTATTTGTCACATTTAGCTTCTATACATATCAAAACCTGCTTTGTTTGTTTGTTAACCTAAAAGATAGTTACAAAGAGTCAAATCTAAGACCAGAAAGACCACAAAAGTTACCGAGTAACTGCGCTTGGAAAAGAAAACTGACGGAGCACATTAAATACATGTACAGTGAAGACCTCTCGTACAGTCAGAAAAAGGCTAGGATTACAACACAAAATCGCGACTAAATTCAAATAATGATGATGTTAGTTTCTTTTCATATATATGTTACTAGAGAGACGGAAAAATATGCCTTTTTAACGTATTGACACAGCAATTTAATTCCATCGATTTCTGCAATACCTTAAAAAAGTTTAAATATTTATTTACTTCTTCATCCCCCAAAAGCGTTTTTCGGAAACAAGCCGACAGGGATGTTTAAGTATAAAATATGGAGCACCAAAGGCCTTCATTAAATATATATATCTACCTTGAGCGATAATTTGTTTCTAAACTGACAAACATTCAAACGGGTTACTAATACACAAAGTAAAAGCAATTAAAGAAGAGAGATTGATCTTTGCCACTCCTGTATTGCGCGGTCCAATAGACGTGACATGCCTACTACTGCGTGACTTAGGTGAAGTCACGAGACTTCACTTTTTAAACTTTCACAAAACATGAGCTGCATGTGAAAAAATAAGTAACGTCAACTTTTGCAATAGAGCGGTTTTCAATTAAATGTCGAATGTAATCAGACCATTATTTAGGTTAAGTAATTGCCTGACTACTTCCGGCACTCGATCTCAAACTGCTCTGTTGGCCGAGTAGTCTAACTGGTAGGTGGCTTGGTTTTGGTTTTACAACTCGATTGAATAAAGCTCTACTACTGGGTTATGGGACATTCACAATTTCAGGAGTGACGTATCATCAAACCCCTTGCATGGGATGATGCAAAATATCTATATACCTAATGACTTAAAACACAGCGAGTTTATCTTCTCTTAGAGACGCGATCAAGGACAAGGAAGAGCTCCTTCGTATTAGACCCAAGTGAGATATTTCAGTCTCTCAGGCTCTCATCATAATTACATTTACACATAAAACAATGCTGGTGATAACCAATTTTCAACATCATCTTGATACTGTACAATAATTATTTGAAATCCACATTAAATAACAGGCCAAATTCAGGTCCCCAGTTTTCCTGATGGTAATTTTAAGAGCCACACAAGCCATCTTTATTGATAAATTAGTTTTGGGGAAGTGATGTGAAATAGAAATACTTTCCACTCTAGTCTATGTTATTGCATAGACCTGTAAAGCTTCAACATTGAGGAAAGCATTTTCTTGAAATTTTCTTACAAAAGATATATTTGATAACTCTTTCAAAAACGCTTACAAAGACTACTCATTCACAAGTAGTTCTCTTTGCATCTTTGCACAAGCCACTTAAGAGCAAGGTTTTACTCCTCTACAAAGGGCACTGAGTTTTACTGCTCTACAGAGGATATGAAAAAGAGATTTGTTGTTATGTAAAAGAACAATCAAGATTCAATACCAACAGGAAAATTTCCTTGTTATCTACATTCTACAGGAGGGACGCTTGGAGAGGGTATGGCATGTGATGATGACGAGGACGACGGTATAGATTTATGTACCTCATGAACCTCTTCAGCTTCGGCTGCTTCTGCAATACAACAGAAAGATACAACATATTACTATTCATACCGTATGTTTCAAAACCCATAGCCATCAGCATGGATAGTGAGTTACATTTTGAAATGATCTCAATCAGAGAGGCATTCCCATTTATCTCTGAATTGCTTTCTTGAGAAAACTGGAAAATAATAAAAAACTCGTAAAGGGTTCGAAGAATTAGAACTCGCTTGCTTTCTTGGTAAAAAGGTGAAGAAAAAAATTGAAACACACCTCTTTTCTTCTTGAGTCTCTTCCTCTTTCTGTCAATACTGGCGACTTCAGCTTTAAGGGAGCTGTACATTTTCCTCATTTCATTTATCTTGTCCTGGAGTAACCTGATACGTTCCCCACCATCTTCCTTTGCTTTAATTTCCTCTAGAAAAATAATACAAGAGAAAACTTAAAATTCTTTTTCACATGTCTGCAGAAAGCTTTGCAAAGTCCTCTTAAAAATGCTGGCTGCTTGAAATGTTAAAGGGGAAGTTGCAAGTGGATTGGGGTCACTTCAAAACAGAAACCTTGCTGCTGAGTATCTTTGATGATGAAATGGATTGTGACTGGAAAATGGTTGGCTAGTTTCTTTCAAGTTCTCACATCTTCCTTTCCAGAATGCCCCCAAAACAGACCACGATTTCCTCCTCTTCAGTTGATTCTACTCTCTTGGTGTTCTAACTGTATTCTGTTTTTAAGTAAGGATATCTTAGCACAGTTTTGACCACAATAGGTTTAATCCTCCATGATACTTTTTCTTCAAGGAAGAACATATACAGTCTGTAGAAAGATGTTTCTTGCATCAAAGTGAGTTAATTAAACCTTACAAATGTTTGCCTTTATGCAAACATACCAAATAAGAAAATAATGACCAATATTTTTGCTGGTAAACTTAAACACCTTTTCACTGATGACTTAAATTAAAATTGATTTTGTGTTCGTTAAAGGCTGGTTTTCACTAGCGACGGAGTCGCAGTTGGAGTCATAGTCAGAGACGTAAGAGTGCTTACTACCTTGTGAAAATCGAAAATTGGAGTCGTGAGCAGAGTCATAAGCTCGACAGAATTGGAGTTGGAAGAATCAGAACGTTTCCATTTCTTCCGATTCTGTTTACGACTCCGTCGCTTATGATCTAGTGAAAACAGATTATTGGAGTTGGAAGCAGAAGCAGAAGAACCAACCAATCATAAGGCCTGGAATCGAGATTGGTTTATTCTTCCGCTTTTGCTTCCGACTCCGACAATCTAGTTTTCACTAGATCGTAAGCGACAGAGTCATAAGCAGAATGGGTGTTCTTCTTCTGACTCCATCGGTTTGATTTTCACTAGATCGTATCTCTGTCGCTAGTGAAAATCAGCCTTAAAAGGCAAAAGTATAAAGTTCTGGTCTGTACATGTATGTGGGAGATCTTTAGATTGGTGCTAGCCTTACCTAGATCCATGTCAAATGACATCCTGGGACGGCGGGGTGATGAAAATACTCCCTGTGACTGACTATACACTGGACTCCCTGGAGCGTCACTACCTGTGCTGTCATTACCAGATGTGTGGCGATGTTTCTTCTTTTCCTTCCTTTTCTTATGTTTCCTGTGATGATGCTCAGAATTTTTCTTCTCCGGTTTGCTATCCTTTTCAGTACTGTTATGTTCACAAGTATTTTCAGTTGTATCTCTCCTAGGAGAATTATCAACTGGCTCATTAGTTTTCTCACTGTCATCACTACACTGAGCAGAACTGGATGCCGCTGAATCACTGACAAGATCTAGTTTAGTGTCCTCTGATGAGGAGGAGGCTGAAACTGTTTCCATGGTAGTTGTGGTACCCAGTGTTTGCAGTGGTTGATTTCCTATCTTAACTACTGTGTTGTCACTGAGCAGGTCTTCAACATCTCTGTCTTGCATACTGTTCTCATTTTCAACTTTGACCTTCTTGGGCTCTGGGCATGTCTCACTGGTGTCTTTGAAATCTTTACTAACTCTTTCTGGAGATGCAACACTTTTTATTAAACCATTTACAGTTCTCTTACTCTTATCTTTCCTTTTTCCATTAACATTACCAGAGCTGTGCTCAGATCCTTGCTCCACATTAGAAATTTCAGATGACACTCCATTTCCACAATAAGAAGTTAAATTCTTTGAGATATCCACTGATTCGCTACTGCACACAAAATTCTTCTTTTCCTCAGTTGTTGTATTTTCTGTTTCTCCTGAAATTACTTCAGGGATTGGCTGAACATGGTTCACTACATCTGCAGATTTGTTCTGTTGCTCTGTTTACAAGAAAATAAAGCCACAGTCAGCAATTTACCTACTATATTTTTCAGAAATCTTCCCACACCAAATAATACAGTTACAATGTAATAACAAAACACATTTAAGGGAAAAAAGAAGAAAAATTGCTCACAGGCAATAAACTCCCTGCCATCAAGAACATTAACAGCAAAATACTGGAGTTAACTTGCAATGGATTAGTATCCCATTTGTGAGTAACAGGACTATTCCTAGTTGTTCATACAAACTTGTGCCTGTGGCCCATGCTCCTGGGGAGCATTTTTTCTTCTTTAAGAATCCTCTGTAGAAAAATAAGATGGTGGCTGTACATTTTACCACAACACCATGCGAGCCTAATACAGTACAAAAAGTACAAGGAAAGCCAAATTTTTGCAGTATTTGTCACTGTACTATTGACATTGTGTGTGCTAGGTTTGATGGTTTTAGAACGTTTCTGTACATTTTTATGAGCGTTTTCTAAGTTTCCGTGCTCTAAGAATTATGGGTAAATGTACCAGTTGCCGTCTTTTTTCCTACTGCAGATGCTGAAAATAGAACTTTTTGGCATCCATTATATTATCTTACCGGTTAACGATGGTTCTGGTGTAGTTGACTTTTGCCGCCTTCTTGACAAAGGACTTTTCACTGAAAAAAAGGATATGATAAGTTTTAATTCCTATTTTGCATGCAGGGCTCTTGTGGTTTTGGTATCTCTACAAAGTCTAGATGTGTTTGGTCCCAAAATATTTTTTTCGATTTGAACATGAAGGTTGAGCTTTAGACGACATGCATAAGCCATGCCCATCCAAGTTGACTACAAGTCTTGTCCTTGTAGGGTCATGACATTGCTTGGGGAAAGACAAATCTCTGAGCTTCTTGAGAAAGTGGTTCCTTTGAAACATTTAAAACCTTACGCAGACCACAGGAGTTATGGTTACAGGAACAGTGAGCATAACAATAAGTCTGCTTGTTAAGTATCCTTCTATAGTCATTTTATCGCTGCCCTCTGTACACTGATGAAAGTGAAAGTTGGAAGTGAATGGCTTCATGTGCTTTTCTTCATGTAATGTGATATAATTAGATGTCAGTCACCAAGACACTGGTCAACTTAGCTGGGCAAGGAACGTTAAGCCATAAAACATTCGTTGTTCATAACATCAAAAAATGGAAGTAAACACATAACTTAATCTCCCACAAATTCATGTCTGACTGTCAGTGTACAGTTTTTAAAATATCATTTCTACATAGCCATCTTACCTTCATCCAATCCATTCGACACCTCTGAAAGCGAGTTCCTCTCTGACCTTGTGCGGCCTGTACCTCTGCCAGGGCCAGTTTTAGGTGACTTGCCAAGAGATGGTGACACTGATCCAGACCTTGTGGAAGGAGAGCATGGTCTCTTCAGTACGCACTTAGAACCATTTGATGCTGATGATGGCTTAGTAACTACTTCCTTGGCTGGTGCCACTGCTGCTTTAGATGTCCGCCTGCCAGCGGGCTTTGTAGTGGGCCTTGTCATGGGCTTAGGAGTGGATTTTGAATTGGAATCCGGTCCTTTGATTGTACCGCCAGTTCTATTCCTTGTCTGTCTTGTACCCCATCCTGCAATCTTTTCAGGCTTTATCCATTCATCATACCTTGAACAAAATGGGGCAAAGCTGCTGCAACTTAACTGATCTAAAGATTTTTTCCTAACAGTGATCAACATGTAACATGAACTAGCAGACAGGTTATGAGAGTAACCAACATCAACAATAGGTCACTGTTGGTCTCAGTTTGAAAATGAGCACTAGCTGAAAACGTTTTATACGAGGACTTCATTAGTTTGCTCATTCTTTTTTTTATTATTTGCTTGCTCATTTCATTTGTCCATTAAACTCATCATTCGCTTCTTTAATCGCTTGTTGGTTCCTTCAAGTATATGTAATGAGCATTCTACATACCTATTATTCCAACCAGCATAGTGAATACAGTAAATTGCACCTTCACTAGATTCAGGGTCAATATGAATTATCTGAAATAAAAGCAAAAGCTGATTATCATTCATAAGTTTGTTGACTGTTTCGTGTGTTGCATAGGCCACCATGTGGTTCAAACCATTAAGATCACAGTTTTGATTTATACTCTGAATCTCATCAGTTGCTAGTATCAAGTGAAATGTCATAAACACACAATTTACACCATCTAGGAGCTGGCTGCCAATACTGGAAGCTCCTGGATGTCTCAGGCACCCAACCTCCATTTAGCGATGCCGTTGTCAATATGGCCTTTAATTAACAGCCGGTGATACCCCTTTGAATTATTCCTGAAAAATGTCAGTACCTTTCACGACAGATTTTAGATACACAACAACAAGTTAACATATTGCATGAGGCTGAACCGCAAGTACATGCAGCCAGTCTGGGAGGGTCACTCAACAAATGTGTACGAATAAGATTAATATATAAACGGGAAAAAAAAATGCTTAGAGTCTAAAACTGACTGACTAACTATATTAGCAAGAGAGGTTGGTTACTAAAATGAGTAATTAAACCAACAAGAAGGGCATGATCATTCAAATTGATAGTATACAAGAGTTTGTTACTACTAAAATCTTAACTAGTTGACCATACCTTGGCATCATAAAGCCGGTGATTTCTCCCTCTTCCATACTTGACTTGTACCTTATCACCAATTTCCAAATTTAATTCATCCACAGGCACATCAGATTTGCCATCAGAATGTGGCTCACTCACATCAGATGAAGACTCAGGACTGTTGACGACATCCACAGAAACATATTCCTCAGGGCTCTTTGCTTGAGATTCACTTATCATTCCATTATCAAGACTTTGCTGACGTTTCATTTCCCTGATCCTTGTGCTTTGTTTACATTCTGCTTTCTTCAAAACTATTTCATCATCATCTATGTCTGGTAAAGGTTCTAAACACTCCAGATGTTTTTCGTCACTGCTGTCTTGGGCACTGTCAGGACTCTCTGGTTTGAGATTCTTGTCATTACTAATGCTGTGTTCGCCAACTTTGTCTTTAGCTAATGGATTTAGTCCTTCCTTCTCGTGAACTTCAAAAGGGTAAAGATATCTATATAACAGCAGAAAAAAGATGTTTGAAACAACCTTTAAAACCTCTTTAAACAATACTGGGCAATCTTGGGTTTCTAAATCTTTTTATATACCGTATGGTTCCACAATGGTCAATATTGAGGCTCACCAAGTGATGCTACATGCTGATGCCACAACAAATTGTTTGATGAGAAAACATCTTTTCCAAAACTTGACCATACAATATTTACCAATGAATGCCATCATAAACTGATGACAACCAAAAGATTTAGTAGACATATTCCAAGAGATATAATATGCTCTGAGTTTTAGAGAGTAACTATTCTCAATTAATAATTATGCATCCTGGGAATGGAATCAATGCTTTTGGTTGTTTGCTTGATGTTTAGATTGTATGATATGTCCCTATTTCAATCAATACTGTATTCCAATGTTTTGAACAGAATAAAGCACAGTTAAGTCTCCACACTGTTGAAATTCACAACTCAGATGTAAATGGAAGGTATATACATGTGGGTTTAATAAAAGCAGTGATGTGTAAATCTGAGGACTTGGACACTCTCCAGGCCTGCAAGAGAGCTGAAACTGTGAACAGTGACAATTACACACTAGATCAAAGGTACAAGAGACTCAAAGAGCAACAACACTGAAAAAAACAACACATACTTTTTGTAAGCCATTTTAATGTGATGTGATGCACTTGGTGGAACAACTGGAATGTCCATTTGTTGATAAATTTTTCTCCAAAGCAATGATTCACTGGAAACCTGCAAAAGTTAGAATACATTGGTAATTATTATATAAAACATCTTTCATACAGTACCGGTCAAAGGGACTGCAGCACCTACACGCATGTAAAATGCGTGTAGTCTGCGTGTAGTATTCGTGGACAGTGCATGGCCCGTGTGTGTAAGGTGTGTGTAATTACATGCGTGTAAAATTTACTGATCTGGTAGTTACACACATTTGTGTGTAATTTTACGCAAATGTGTGTATTTTAATTGGAGCAAGAAACCTTTGTTACACATACACGCAGTTGCGTGTATTTTGCAAACCAAAAAGCCACTACTAACTTGTATTCGAAACATGCGACTTTCAATGTTCACAACAAAAAGTAAATTCACAAGCCAACAAGCATTGCTAAATTACTGGACTAGCTTGAGCACCTATCAAAATACTCTTTCTTAATCTGTAGCAGTCCGCACTTCTGCTTAACATCAAACCCCTGAAAGATCCCTGAGCTTTCGTTTACGTTAAAACACATACAATATACGTCGCAATGTAATGTTTACCCACACAAGAAATGTCATTGTCAACTCCTGTTCCTTCGATAACAATGAAATAGGGATTCAAACAGAAACTTGCGGATTCTCTCTTAATTTTAACAGTGAAGAATCAAAAATTTTTTTTCACAAAATCTAGACGAATTCGTTAATTTTCAATTCATCAGATTCGTGTGTAAACCCGCAATATTTACACTCGGTTCGTTCGATTATTTGGCTTAAATTACAATACATTTCACTCAGACTACTGATAAGCTAAGTTCGAGAAAAACAAAGGGATTTTCATCTGTGGGTTAAGTCTGGTTGACAGATCGTCGTGTGTCTGTATATGTATTCGCGTATGGAATAAAATGAAGCAGTGACTAATTTCAAAACAACTCTCACATTGCACAGGGTTTCCACCTGGGGTAGATCTTGGTCACGTGCTAGGCAACGCTTTTCAAGAAACATATCGAATTTCATTTTTACCAGATCAAAACAATGTTTTCAGATGGAGAACATTCGCTTCTGAGCTATTAATGACGAATCTTCAAAGGCTTTTTAAACTTAAAGAAGGATACCTGATGTTTAAAAATTAACTGAAAATCTCAAGCAAAATATTATGTTTTGCTGTTATTTCGTGTCCATCAAGCCTCAGTTTGTCAGTCGCTGGTGCCTTTGTTGTTTCTCATGAAAAGAAAAAAAAAACATGACCGGAAAAGCTTTTGAACACCGGTTAACTCTGAATACTTCGGAGAACGAAATATTTTTAATGAATCTCTGGATTGATTTAAAGTACACTGATTGCTGTAATTTATAATTGAAAGAGACATTATATGTTTATGTTCTGTTATCTCAGTGAATCCTAGCTAGCATGCCTGCCCGCCGCTGGTGCCGCTTGTTGAAACTACAACGGATAAATACTTTTACTGTAAGGGGGTAGGCCGGTTTAAGGAAACTGTATCACAGTGCTGTCCAGTATGGTAAATGTTACACGGTAAATGTTTTGTTTTAATTACACGCACTTGTAATATTTCATTCCCATTACATGCACTTAATGAGATCCAGTTGAACGACTGCGAGTAATTTTACACACAATATCACGTTTACCGCGTGTAATTACACCCATTTTCGTGTATTTGCGCGTAAGGTACGTGTAAGGTGTGTGGACACTGCATGTAATGTGCATGTAGTACATGCCCTTAATGTGTGTGTAATGCTGCAGTCCCTTTGACCGGTACTGTATTCCAAATACCTTGGAACAGTAATAATCAGCTGGGTCCTTGGATACTCAATACCTTACTACTGTATTGTACATGTCCAATTATCCCACTTACACCTGCACTGGCCTAAACTGGCTTTGGGGAAACATGGTTCTTCTACCACTTGTAATGCCATCAGTGTTCACACCAGAAATTGTCTTAGATAATCAGCTGCTATATTGGTAAAAGGTCTTATGAAGTATGCTAAAACCAGCACAATAGGATCAACTGGGCCAGAAATACAAACAATAAACCACTAAACATTTTCCTCTGAAAAAACGGAATGAAATTGTGGGTTGTTTTAGCATCAATTGTTTGGGCAAAAGAGCCAGAAAGAGGCATGTGTCATGCATAGAAGAAAATTATGGGAAAATTCTTATGAAAAAGAAATTCTTATGGGTTAATTATGTTGTATTTTCAAGGCTGCTGCCTAACAGGCGCCCAGTTGCTTGAGGTGCTTAAGTTACAAGTGGGGGCGACTTAAGTTTTGTTCAAGGCCTAAACATGGAGTTTTCATTCCCATCTAATCAGTCCAATGACTGTAACTTTGTTCTACCAACATAAAAAAGCCTGCCAACCATTGCCAATTATTGTACATTTGTTCCCTAAATTTAAGGGTTCCTGGCTAACACACATTCTGACTGCCCGGGGTGTTGCTCATGAAATCGGCTAAAAATTCATTCATGCAATAAATTAAACAAGAAACAACAGCTACTCTGATCCTGTTTTGCTTTTATCACAAGAAATATGGGCCAAAACCAGTAACAAAGTCTCTCTCTGCTCACAAAACAGCCGGAAACAGCCATATTTGAAATTCGCCTACGGTGCACTGCAAGCTCAGTGCTGAAAAAAAGCTGCAGCACTTGTGTGGATACATCAATTATTGAATTTTGTTCAGTTTGACCATAAATAGTATTCTTCCTCAGTCATGACCTGAACACTTTGCTGAACGCTTGATTCCAAAAATTGATTGATATTAGACCATATTAGTGTCTCATGGAAAATCTCAACAGAGAGAAAGGGGCTACCCTGGGCCCCTCCCCTAAATTTCCACAACTCACTCCAACACCCGCCTCCCTCCCTCCCAAAGATTGACCATGGCAAATTTTATCCTGGGCTCCTTACAAATTTCCTTAGGTAACAGCCTTGATTTTGAAGTTTACCTCTATTTGAAGGTAAACTGTACATTTACAAAAAATTACCAAAATATTGTGACATTTAGTAGTCAGCTGATTGGAGTAAAAAGAATCAAGAAACAAAACACTTAAGAGCTACAGTAATCGCCCACATATAAGAACCTGAAGTTTTCAATTTAGCCTAAATAGGTTCTTATATAAATGGTACTTAAAGCAAATTTAGNTTTAATAGCTGTAAGTTAACTCTTCAGCCATTATTTGTACCTTTATAACCCAAATTGACCAGCAAATTGTCGATCCTAGCCTACATTACAAAGCGGCAATCTCAACTGGCGACCCGGCTGCACTTTGAAATGGAAAAAAACACATACATCACAGCCATCCAAATCCTAGCTAGACTCCGAATTGTAATGCTAGATGATACAGTTCTTTCACTTAAAAATCTTGTCCAGTTTTGATAAAATATGAATCACAAATACCCAAAAATGTTTTGAGAGCTCTCGCAAGTCTCTTGAGTGTTTTAGCTCGGTTCCCGAAGTGACCTCAGCAGTAGCCCATCCCAGATCCCACTTTGCATGGTTGTGAACATAGAAATTACATATTCAAACGCCTGTAGAAACAAAGGGATTTTATCAATNCACTTTAGAAAGCCTGTGTGTAATCAAATTCTGATATTTAGATTGATGAAGACTACTTGTTTAATTTGCTCCACTCCAGAACTCATTAGAATTTTGTGTTATTATTTGGTTAATGGGACTTCATGAACTTTGAATAGTTCTATTTGTCTAATTACTATAAGTACAGGGTGTAAAATAAACCTACCTTGTTTATTGTTCTAATTTAGGTTAGGACCACAAGTTTCTCGGTCCACGACTGTAAAGCATTTCCCTCATTATATTAAGCTATTTACATATTTTATTTCTTTACCTTTCTCTTGCATGAATGCCATTAGCTTTTCTTTAAAAGCCTTCTTCTCTTCATCTTCTTCAATACTCCCCTCATCTTCTGAAGAATGAGGCTTCTTAGAGTCTTCTTCACTGTCTCCATGAACTATTACATCAGAGGAATTTTCCTCCCAGATTCCTGGAATTCTTCCAGTGTCTAAATAAGTCAGTGCTCTTTCTACAGCTGAAGACAAATAAAACAAAATATGAACAGCTCAATACTCGCTAATCCCTCTCTCTAACATATATGCAGGTTTCGAGTTAGGATTCAAGGCATGACCTTATCCCAATTTGGCAGGTCTTGGAATTTTTATCATTGGGTTATTCCAGAAAAAATCCACACACCCCTCTTGCGGGAAGGGGTTCAATGACCTTGGAAATCAGGGTGAGAGGGGTCATTTTCAACCAAACCGAAAAGTGAAGAAAATTTCTAAGACTTCAAAGGATTTTTGTGTTGAAAAGTGTCCCAGAGTTCAAGAGATTCCTTTGTCAAATCAGCCGTTGAGACTTAAATTGTTTGTTTGAACAACAACATAAATCAAATGAATTAAATGTCAAAATTACATCAGCATTTAACTATGAAATCATTCAAAGACTATTTTCTTTCAAGAAATCATCAAGAGACCACTTTGTTTTCACTGTTATGCGAAAACATTCAACATACATCAACCCCTATTCCCGGAGGGTGGCCGTTTATTAGGGGTTTGACTATACGACTAAAAAGAGAAACCAAGTTATGCAAGCACTTGGTGAAGTTAGCAATTTTCAAATTAAAAGCGGGCATTCCTTCTCTTTTAATGTGTCAAAATAACTATGTAATTGTCACTACTTAAGCACATTGCAAGAACATTCTTTTAGTTTTGAAAATAACAAAAATGATCTCCAGAATGCACTCTGATCATCTTTTCTATTAGGTGTAAATTAAACTTTTACGACCACCAAAAAAAGGAAATCCTACCGGCAAGCAGGACATGAGAGGGGAGGAGTTAAAAATTAGGGGGAAGGGTGGGAGTCAAAAAACTTAGCCATCCATTGATGTGTGTGATTTTACTGAGATAATCCATTCCACTATTTCCAAACTAGACATCAGATATTAAGTCCCATGACCCACACTTAAGATGCTTCAAGATGCCTCACTGCATCAGACACGTAATTCAAAAATGAGAAGAGACATGATCAATTCAGCTAGATACCCACCTGCTTTTAATTTTCTGTTTTCACCTTTCGTTACACCATGCACTGGATCTTGATCCTTGGAGAAATCTTTTGCATCCTTAACATTTATCACATGGCTGAAAAATAAGGATAAAAAAAGACAGCATTGTTTGCATCACAGAACATCTCTTTGGAAATCAGTTTCAAAGCATTGTCAAGGGAGGAAAATTACAGTTGAACCAATAGTAAATGACTGAAGGGCAAATCCAAGGGAAATGTGTTGAGTTCCAAATAAAAGGGAATTTGAAATAGCCATGTTTGAATTAGTCAGGTCCAACTGTATTATTAGGTGCCTCTTGAAGTCTACTTCAAAAATAGATGTCATGTCATTTCTCTGCATGAATAATTAACATGAAGCACCAAGGCGTTTCTAACCCAGGGTTCTCATTACAGTACCGCTCAAAAGTAAGTTACCACCTTCTCGCGAGATGAGATTCTCTTCTCACGAGACGAGACTCTCGCCTCAAGAGATGAGACTTGTCTCGAGAGACGAGACTTTCGTCTTGCAAGACAACAGTCTCGTCTCGCGAGAGTTTTAAAAAACTGTAAGTACGGCTGCCTGAACTTCTTGCGAGATTTTAATAGCTTATTGTAAAGCAAACAATACAGCAACAATGCAGCAAAACTTTGCCTTTTATCGATCGATCAACAGACTGTTTAACTTGGTTGCCCCATGTACACGTAGGTGAGTTCAACATCAACACAACTAATTTGACCAAAAGATCGCAATCTTTCCATCAATCGCTCAACTGAGGTTGACTTGCTTGGAAAGCTCATTTAACAATGAAATTAAGATCAAGAACAACAACCATTTTATTTTGCTTAATACATAACTTTCAATATTCAAACTGACGTTTTCTGCGGTCTATTTCACGTTCCAATTCTTTGGACGCCACGTGCGTTTGTGCTTTGTTAGCAAAGGTCACGTTTTCAATTTGTTGTGCAATCAAAAATTCACTTCCTTTCTCCCTGTCAGATGGAGCATGTACAAATTTACCAAAGTTCTCCTTCCATTGGTTAATAGATATGGGCTACTGACCAAGTGTGAGGTCAAGATGGGTGGATATTGGCCAAGTTCTTTTTTTGGGTGTTTATGGACTGAGATGAGTTGAGTCGAGGTCCATGAACTCGCAAAAAAAGAATGAGGCCAATATTCAGCCATCTTGACCGAACAACCTTGGTCAATAAAGGATTTATTATATGGCTTTCCAGGAAATTTTTCTTGCGGGACACGGCGGGTAGTCCCGAGCGGGCAAGATAGCTCCATTTTGCCTGCTTGGGTAGCCAATCACAACACAGGATTTGATTCATCTTGCCCGCTCACGGAGCAGGCCATATAATAATACGATTTCTAAGATTGTTTACATTCAATTTTATTGATGAAAACAACAGTTTTTGATTCAAAAGTGAGTTCAAAGGACATGCACACTTATGCAAATTCACTGCGTTATGGACTAAAAATAATCAGGGAACTATTGACACTTAACTCATCAATTACTCAAGCACTTTCACCAACATCTTGACTTGAGATAAAAAAAAATGTTTCCATTCAGTTTCTTCATTTGAGATGATAGTGTTGGGTCTTGCGAAGCAGGTTTCGGCTTAAATGCTGTTGCTTATGCAAAATCAACACACTGCAATGAAATAATTAAAGTGACCGCCAAACGCAAGTTTTGGTGAACGTCTTTGATGTTCGTTTTTCGTCACTTTCATTTAAGTTTTTCGCTTGTAAGTTAAAGTTGGCTCTCTTAAAGCGGCATTTAAAACAAGAGCCCACAAAACCAGATGTTCTCGCAGGGTAAACTTCACAGCATCGCCAGAAATTAATTGTTTTCTCGCAAGCTAACTGCTTGTAATTTATTCCAAAATATATGCTTCGATGGTTCTTGCGAGACGACACTCTCGTCTTACGAGGCAAGACACTTGTCTCGAGAGAAACGAGACGAAAGGTGGTAACTTACTTTTGAGTGGTACTGTAAGTCCACGGTGAAAAAAGCTGCATCTTCTTTGGATTGGTAGAAGTCTCTTTGAAAGGCTTATTCCAAGCATAGGGCAGGAAAATTATCTTCTATGTGCTAATCCCAAGGTTTACTGGAAGTCTTGTTATTTCTCTGCATGACTGATTCACATGAAGCGCCAAAGCTCAAAAGTCTCCATATTACTTAATATACCATATTGCTTTGTTTGGGGGAGGGCTTAAAAGAGCCTTTACTGAACAAAGATAAATAGCTTTGTTGGTAACTAGTACTATTAACTTTTCTAAACTCTTTTTATAAAAAAAGTTCTCTAAATTAAAAATAAATAGTTAAGTTATCAACCAGTTTTAGAGCTGTTGCTGCTACATTTGTCATCAACTTACTATTTTCCATCTTTGAAAGAGCGGACGAGGCATTTCTCTTTTGTTTTCATCAAATCAACCTCATTCTTACTTGGATTGACACCCTGCAATACCAAAAAATTGTATATATATTATCAATCAGTGGACCACCCATTGCCATCCACCCAGCCTTAGTAACAATACAGGTTTTTTGTTTCATACACAATCAATCAAATTTTCTCCAATGACTATGACAAAAGGAAGCATATCTCATAAAAGAGAAACAGGCTGATATTATCCAATCAAAGGTGACTACACATCTGGATTAAAAAAAAATTATGGTGAAAAATAACTACATGTTCTAGTTTTATTGCATTTTTGTTTAAAAAAAAAATAAATAAATAGTTTCTGAAAAAAAATGAGACCAACAATTACTGTTTTACTGGTACATAAGGTTACAGCACTCTTAAAAAAAATTTAAAAAAAGGTTATGGCACTCACAAAATTATATCTTTTCTTGTTTTTTCAAATTCAGTGAAAAATGCTTAAGTCTTGCTGCTCAAGGCGGCTCATTTTTGTAGCCTTGTTTTATGGCCTTGACAAGAATATATATATTTTTACATCCAGGAACACATTATTGGGAATGAGTTCCATGCAGAATGTCAATGGAATGGAAACAGAATATATAAGGACCATATAAGGAATATGTACAGAACAGGTACAGGTATAAAATCCCTGTTTGATTATTACTGAGGGGTTGTGAGACAACTTTACAAATTAGTACTATATAGCAAGGAAACCTCACCAAAGCTGGAAACCACATGTTTCTCCTTTTTGATCCACTTTCTACAATGACAACCTTAATTAAGTGAAAAAAAAAAGAAACTATTTGATAACAATTAAGAATTAAGAATTTATACCAGAAAAAGCTATTTCCTGAGGTATTACAAAACCCCAGATTCACAAATAATGCAGAGACAGTAATCTAAACCTTGCCAACAATGCTGTCATCAAATAAACACTTCTTCTTTGTCGGAGCTGATCTCTGTTCATCTCGCTCTGTTTCAGAATCATCCATACTTAAAAGAACAAAATGAAAATTAACAATTGATAAAAATTCTTTCAAGAGCATAAAAACACTGTCAAGTAGACAGGTGCTTAACTGAATGAAGAACAGTCATCGTCAACTCAGGAATAATGTTTTGATATACCGTCAGAATCTCAGTGCCAACATTTCAGAAATTTATAACAAACAGTTACTATTGTTTATTTCTTAACCTTGGGATAAATAAACTAGAAAAAAATGACATGATTACAAAGTAAATCCAATGCTCAAGAACAGGCTTACCAATAGCCTTCATGTGGTAGCTCTGACACATTGTTTGATTTTTTTTTTTTTTTTACTTTACCTAAGAACTATGATACCACATGGCATACATATTTCCAATAGAGATTTAGCCAAGCCTAAAAGCATAGCTCCATCCGGGTTGTTCAAAGCCCGATTAAGCTAACCCAGGATAAGCGAGAAGTTTGTTTTCAGTCTTGTAACTTTGCAGGTGAGGTTCTCTGTTTATATTGTTTGGCCTTCTGTTTTGAGTTTGAATAACCTCAAACTACACAAAACATAAGCTGTGAACAACAATTTTATACAAGAAAATTTTGCACTTCAATCCTGCCTTGGTGTTAACCAGTCCTGATTACAACAAGTTAGCCTCAGTTGAGCCCACAATCCAACAAAAACTCAGTACTTGTTTAGCAGTCACCTTCAAAAAAACACTTGACCTCAACGAGCTCTTAACTTGAGCCCGTGATATGGTCACGTGATACTGGTCAGCGGATACCTTGTTTTGACTAGTGTCAATTGACCATGAAGACTGTACATTACCTTGCTGCCTGACTTAGTCTTCTCTTTTTCCTTTTCTTTCCATCCTGAAAAAGAAATGAACTCAGTGCTTTGATAAATTTAATGCAAAGGCAAATTTCTTGGACATAAATTATAGCATGATCATGCACTCTCCACATTGCTGGTCCTAGCAGTATGTGTATAACATATGAACTGAGTGAACATCCTTGTTCATTAGGAGTCATTCCATAGCTCTGAGCATAGAGCACCCAACCAGTATTTTAGAGATCACATAATGAACATTATATCTTTCTCATTTTACTACCAAACTTAAACTTTACAATCTTTCCTTATTTCTGTTCCCCCCTCCCTTTAAGTTTTTGCAATCAGTTGTATAATGTTAGATGTCAGTGCCTAGGAATAATGTCACAACAAATACAACTGGAAATTTTCTTTATTTCTACAGATACGGGTTTTACGACAACCTTAAACTATGTGTATATACCCATGCCACTGGCTCTTTAATTGCTTGCTTTACCAGTGAACGCACCCTTGTAATGCACCTTTTGCCACAAACACTGACCGATTTTTAATGCCTCTTTTTTATGTTGAATTAAAAATCGAAATTTTCTCACATGGAGTATAGGGCAACTTTTAGTACAACATTTTGTTTGAAACAACATGTTGCAGGCTTTTGAAAGCCATTAAAAATCCTGGAACATTGTTGCCTGAATTTTGTTTTTCGCACAATGTTGTGATAGAAAATCGTCTCATGTAACCTAACGTTGCCAACCATTTGATAGCTTCCTTCCCAAGTGCAAGGGTTGTTTTCTCTCTTTGTCTTCCATGTGGAATTTAAAACCATTTTCCAGTATTGCCTTTCTCGACTTTACTTCGGTGATTATTTTGTTTTAAAAATAAATAATAAATGAAAGAGTGAAAAGCACTTTATAGTCAGGGACTAGCAAACTACTGGCCCTCCATACATCAACTAAAAATTCTTTTATGGTTTCCATCTGCAAAATCACTTGAGATATCAGAGAATGTTGCTAATCATGTTAAGGTTAAATCCAAGTTATGTACATGTAACAGTGAGCTTGCACTTGCAAGTTATAGTGCAGACACTAAGACTGTTGCCATGTTACTTGCTGGACTGTGCACAAGTTGTAACAAAATAAAAAAAAAATGAAAACACATTCAGTACATATAACACTGGATTTGTCACAATATTATTTACCTGCACAACTGGGGTACCAAAATTTTCAGGATCTGTGAGGGGAAGATGGTCAAGGGTCTGGAAAGAATAAAAACAATGTATTGTAAAGAAAAGCACGTGCGTGTAGAATTCCTCATAAGTGATGCAACTCCAAATATACACGTTGGAATATGAATTTACTCATTTAATGCCCACCTCACTTTCGTTGAAATGTCGTCCCCCTTTCAAACACAGAGAAGTCCTTCTCAATGTTCTTTCATCGCCATCATCAAAAACTTGAAGAGAAGTAAACATATATGTGATTAACTGCTTGTTTTGGTTCTGTATAGCTTACCTCTCCGGTACCTTAGATAACGAAAAAGAATTCTTACCAACAGTGTAGACGCTGGCGTCGGTGAGTTTGGTTATAACTCCTTCCATAAATTGGCCATCGGGATTCTTGGCTTCAACCACTGCTCCCACCTTCAGTGAGAAGAAAAGAGACATCTTACATGTGGCAGAAAAGCAGCACATACTGAACAACATCAGCTGATAAGAGATCGACAAGAGAACGAGAGAATGGTGCCTGAACAAAGAAAGGAGAACGTACCTTCAAAGAGCCTTTGACACAATCATCATTAATTGTGACCGAAGTGTTTGTTTTAGTAAATGTAACCTACAGAAAGCAAGAACATAATCCAAAATAACAAAGGATGTGAGAAACACGGCCTTTCTCGCCTCTAAGAACAGAAATCCAAAGCAGTAACGTGTGGGGAAACCATTTCAATCTTCACTGACCTTGCATTTGACAAGCTTCTTCACAACCTTCACGTTAGCTTCACAAAAAGCTCCTCGATATTTGGCACTAACATCCGTTCCTACCGTTAAGAATGGGGGTTCCTCTGAAGGCTGTGCCTGACGAAAGATGAAAGAACAGAAAGGAACGAGGTTTGGAGCAATTAATGACGTGAGCAAGGAGTTGCTTTGAATTATAGATGATCTTATCCCAAATTCCCTGAGTTTTAATGTTGACTTGTCATAAAACCAGCGGTTAGCAAATGTGCCGGTTTAATCAGAAGCAAAGGCTGAAAAATGAGGCATCCCTGCAACAACTTTAAGAGGAAGAGAGAGTGGCTTTAGCAAGTTGATACGAGCACGGTCACAATGCAACGACTGCAGATCGAGTGTTTTCGTGTAAACGTCGTGCAACGTACTGTATACGAACCGAGGTTTTCATTTCAGTAACAAGCCATAATTCCACAGCAAAAACCATTGACTAGAAAATACTTTTAGTTAAGTTCATCAGCTTACAGAATCTTGAGTTCTGCTCAGTCTGATACCTGGTACTATAAAAGCATGTAAGAAATCTTCGAATGAGCATTCGTAAACAACATGTCCTGACCAACTAACCAAGTTGACAGAACATGCTTGTCTCGAAGCAATCGCTCATTCTTTTTCTCCCTGCATAACACAGCTTAACATTCATATCTACAACAAGGGTATCGCTATATTCGAAAATACCTTTATTTGCTTCGAGAACTGTTCCGACAGAGATGCGAAATGAGTAGGAAGACTAATGTGAGATAAAGCTAAAAGCTAAACCCAACTAGTAACCAAGTAAGCTTATAGTTAGCATTTTAACCAACAGAGTATGATTGCACAGACACATCACTGCTTTCTTTTAAGACTACAGAGAATCAGGAACATATGCAAGACGTAAACAAACAATTGAGTGGCTAGATTCCGAGCTTTTCTTGGTAAGAGCATTTCTGTTTTCAAGTGTTCCATGCCTCAAGCAAGTGTGCGCTAAAAGTTGAACCTTACGACGACTGAATTGCTGCCAAGCTTAAACTGTACGCTACAGGAAGTTGCATCTCTCTGCAAGGATCAACTTAACGTAACATATTACAGCCAAAACTCCGGACTGTTTCTACAAACTACAAAACAAGAGTAAAGTAAAGTGAAGAAATAGAAGAGGGACTGACAATGAACATCATGGAAAAATTTCTCGGAGTGAACGTAAACACAACTAAACTACTGCACATTTTAAGTCAACTCACCATAAGGAAACTTAATCTATGGTCCTGAGACCACAGTCAGCAGCGCTAAGCAATCCGTCCCTACGATCACCCAAAAATCCAAACGAAAACTTCAAACTGAAGAGAAACTTGCGATGGCCGACAACAAGGACGCTCGACTTACCCTCCTCAACCAGGGGCCATGGGGGGTCCTTGTCGCTGATTGGACGTTCCGTTCAGAACCTCCTCCAGTGGACCTCAGTTTGCTCTTGGTCCACACCATATTTGGCAGATTGGAGGCGAAATTGACAACTTTCATTGTGCTGTTTTACTTCCGGCACCACAATAACATCCGCTTGGTTCGTATTCGCGGGAAACTTAATTAATCCAAGCAGACGCTGGCTTCAACGAAGAAGTAACTCATCAACGTGTTTTTCTTTATTGATTTAATATTTACTAACTTGTCATAATCGTTGTCACAAGCTCACTGTTGGTTTGTAGTGACCTTTTATTTAAATAAACAATCTTTTAATTTTTGCATGCACAAAGCCAAACAAAATTTACAAAACCTAAAAAATTACAGGAACCAAAAAAGTTACTTCAGCAAAATAGCGAGAATTTCATTTTAATTCGAAAAAGTAATTAAAAAACAAACAAAGGGAGAAGATTGGAGATGAAATCAGAAGAAGGTAATATTTAACTGATTATCAATTTTATCAATAAAATCAGGAATTAATAATAAATCATTCCAGAATTTCCTTTTGCAAATGTAATGCAAGAACAGAATTGTATAATTCAATATTTCATGATTTGCAGAAAAATAAAACAAATAAAAGAATCAGTCATATAATACTGAAATTGAACAGGAAGATGAAAAACCAAAACACAGCCTTCCTGAATCATACATGTGTTATGCTTGGACTACATCAGTCCTTGCATGTAAACTCCATCTGAGGAGGAGAAGGAATAAGGCAGGAAACTGATCATCAACAACTTCCACTGTGAACTTTGATTTGTTACATTCTCTCTCTCTGGGATCCACTCTGGGCATGTTGGAGAAAAGGTAAGGACTGCAGTTCGGGGATTAATTTCAAAATTGCCCAATAGCCTACCAGTACAAAGTAATTTGACCACAGCTACCAGAAAACATTAAGCTTTATTGTGCAAACTTTGCAACCTTAATCAAGTCTGGGTTTTTGTAAGTACTCTAATATTGGAATACCTCTGTCTCAGAGCAAACACTATAACAGGTGTTTAGATAAACTAACCATCACAGACAAAATAAACACCAGAAACACACATCATTAAGTTCTATTTCATGATAAATAGTCCAAACAAACTGTGTGAGAATGAATAAAAATGCTTCCTTAGCACATTTTTTGATTAATATTTTGATTTTTACAAACAGAATTATTCTCTCAGTGATAAGGATAATAATGACCAATCTGCCCTGTACTGGACATCTTTATAATGTTAACAGTCCAATGAAAGGGGGATGTTGGAAGCATGTCTATTATCTCTAAATCCTGCACTGCCACCTTTTAGAAATGGATGACCTCACATTGCCATATTCCCCAATCAGGCTTTACAAAGACAAATATGTTGTTAGAAAAAAATAAGCAGAAACAAATGCCCAGCTTTTAAACAAGATTAAGAATTAATAAGCATTATCCTTTAAACTTCAAACCTCTGGATCAGTTGAACACAAACTAAAAATGTAATGTAAAATGTATTCATAATTATAATGAGAAAAAAAAATAAGGACGATGATGATGAAACACCAACCATTACTTACAAACAAAACTGCTTTTAACTATGACTCCTTAAAGTATGACGGCTAGTTTTCTCAAGTTGATATTTGCCCAAAGAGTGAGAATCTGACACTTAATGGCTGTTTCCTGTCTGGGGTTGGGGGGCTGGATGGGGGTGGTTTTGGCTATATTCGCCAAGAACATTTTGAAAACTTAAAGCATTTCCGCAGACATGGTTTACTTGATTCAAAGTGGTATCAACTCCTGTCTAGGTTTTTTATTTTCTACCTTGTAACTGAACAAATGTGAAATAATAGATTAAGTACAGAAAGAGAGAGACTGTATTCATTTTTGCTTGTGTATACTGCAATCAATATGCGAGACCTGCAATGCCTAATTACTAGTAGGATACTAGTTGGTAAATAATTTGGTCAGTTCCAAGCTGTCTTTGTCGAATGCAGCCTGGTGCAAAACCAGAGCATGCAAGAAACACCCATTCCGTACCTGCCAACTGTCATGCCTGAGATGCAAGTCTCACATCTGTAGGTCAAAAACATTGTTCCCTATCCTACTGATGCCTACCAACTACTTTCTCACGCCTAGCTAGCTGAAAAATTTGAGCAATAATTCAGCCTTACAAATAAACCAATGCACTTTTGAAAAATCTTATCCAAAGTTGAATCAGTGTAAGAAAAGAAACAAAAGTACATGTGAATGATGGCACACTCTCTAGAACTGTCTAATTTTAAGCAGAAAAGTATTGGTGACAGCACATTATGTTTGGCAAAACATATACTGTGAATGAGAGTAGGAAATGCTCAAAACATTTTCAAAAGCTTTGGAAACCTTAAGAAATCATTAGAAGTACTTGGATATGTTCTCAATCAGGTCCTCTTCCTAGCATAGATTTGACGATTTTACTTCTCCCATTACTCCTTAGTTTTTGTTTTGATTGAGAAGATATATCAAACACTCGCAACAGTGTTTCATCGCCCATCCAAACACCTCGCATTTCGTCAAATATACTCCACAGTGCGTCATATTTTCAACTCTCTGGATATCCCAATGAAACACTGTCTCTCGTGTTTGATATATTACATGAAAAATGTTTTGCAACATAATTGAAACTAATTAGGCCGAAGGCGATACAGATATGATTTAATTATTAAATAACATAGACAGCAATAATCATAATCAACATATAAAAGTCGTAACAGACAAAAGTAACAATTTCAATGAAAAAAAAAAGAGGTAAAAAAGACTGATCATTTGCTAGTACCCGTAGTTTCGTTCTTGTTCTGTTTCTTATTTTGCTTTGAAATCTTACTTGTCCTGATTTTATTTTTGTGATGATAAATTTTACTGTTCCCACGGTTTGGAAATTTTGGGTTCTTGCTAGGCAGCTTGTAGTTGTTCCTCACAGACATTCTTCCAAAGCCTTGATTATCCTTATTGCCTTTTATAACTACTTGCTTCTTTTTTCCTTTGTGGTCATTTGTTGATGTTTTTTTGGCAGTTATTCCACTGAATGAATACAATCCAGGTCTACCTTTCTTGGATCTTTTAAACTGGCCTACATGTAGAAAAAGAAAACAACAGAAGATGTATAATTCATTCACTTACTAAGTATCAAATATATCTTCTGTATAGACCCTTTTCATAAATGGCTGCCAACTTAAAATTCTTTGGTATGCATTTAAATTAGCCTCACCAACAAACCAACACTTCACTCTCCCTTGCTTATTCTGTATATGACAAAAAAATGCATGCTTACACTGTTGTAAAGAGCTCTTGAACATATCTCAAATTCAGCTGTGAATAAAACCACTTAGTCTTTTGGTCCTTGCATTTTAAATCACTTTTGTATCCACATATTCTGCTCCATGGATTTTTTAGCATTGTTTGCATTTTGTTCTGTAGTTGATAGTCAGAAAGTATGAAAAACTTTGTCAAGTCTGTATATATATGTGCTCTATGGGTGACCCCTATCATTGACCAATCAGTGACCACATTCTAATCAGGTCAAAATATCCAAAGTTATCTCACAATAGAGATTGAGACTTCCATGTGATTTGTATAAGTGTAACTTACAGTAGATGGTATATTGTGTGAGTGCCATGCAGAAAATGAACAATGAGTTCAAACCCAAAACAAAACAGCCCTCAACATTTCCAACAATAAAGTTTCAGCAATTCAATATACCATACGTAATAGTAAACTGAATAACATAAAATAACATACAGTATATAGTAATAATTATAGACTTTTGGGAAGCAGCATTGGCATGGCTGAGTGGTGAGAGTGCTGAACATAAATTCTGAAGGTCACAGGTTCAAATTCCATTCCGATCACTAGCTGGCTGGTGTTGCTCCATGTTTGTAAGTCAACAGTTGGTCTGTCTCTTGCCAGCAAGATTTTTAACCATGTTATTTTCACTGTATGTTCACATAATTGCACTAATGAAAACCCATTTGAAAGCCCCATTGTGGGAATGGTCTATTATCCGTTTGTAAAGATAGAAGATCTGCACAGGTTTCACTGACATTTACTTCACAGCTCACAGCTTGTTTTTCACAGCTCACTAAAAATTTAATAACTTCATAGTCATGGCCATACCTAGTTGTGGATTTTCTGAAGACGGAAAGACTCGTAACTGTCGACCGTGGAATTCTGTTTTGTTCCTTTGTAAAGCAAACATCACTGCATCTCTTTCCTACAAACACAAGACCAATATTGTTATGATTTATGCAGCATGCTACAAATTTAGACAGCAACAGGAAATCTTACTCATACCTTCTGAAAATTCTGTGAAAATTTAAAATGAAAGAGAAAAACCCATGCATCACTATTCAGCTTGTCCCATGATTGCAAAGTGGTTTGAAGTGTGGGTCCAAATTCTCAGATTATGTTCCATCAAATTATGCTCACCCATTTGATTGTATACACCATTCATGTACTTGTGCGTACTGACCCTGTGAACAATTATTGCCCATAATCTATGATAATTCACCACAAACTATAGTTTTAAGTCAGGGATAAGAAAGTGCTGTTGAAGAAGTACTTAGCAGATGATGAACTCAAAAACATGAATTTTTTNATTCACACGTCAATTACACGCATTTTAATAACTTTTGTTTGTAATGTTTCCTAAGTTTTCAAAACTTATGAAAAGTGCTACAGACCTTTTTGCTCAACAAAAGTTCTCAAAAGACATTTTTAATTCAAAAATTTGTTATAGTTATGATTGATTAGTAATTGGACCTTGTGTTGTACAATTCAGGGAGTAATCGTGCTCGTAATTTTAAATCAGCCTTGTGCAATTACCCCTGAATTGTACTCCAATTACTATTACTAATGATAATAACAACGACGACAACGACGACGTTCAGCACTACCAACTATTAAGAACATAGTTTTGGGTCATTGTCAGTCCTTTCTAGCACACAATCACGACAATAAACTGAGGTGTACCTGAAGAATCATATGGAATTGTTCTGTTTTCTAGTACTTTTCTCCTTTACAGTTTTTTTTGGGGGGCTGTCACGGGATGACTTGTGTTCTTATTCAGAATAATCTAATGATGTGCCTCTAAACCCACATCCACTACTCAGCTTGCTCACTCAGCTTGCAATTAATTATTATAGTACTTTTACTAGACAGGTGTGATAAGGCTTCTTCTTTGTTTTGTCGCTAGTAATAATTCCACAAGCAATTTTGTAAGTTGCCCAGTCTTGCCACAGATTTTTTCTTTTTCCTTACGTACTGAACTAAGATTAAGAGCAATTGCAAACATTTGCATCAAGCATTAATGCAGCCATGAAAAAGTTTAGAAAAAAGCAAATGACTGTGTGTAAAGCAAAAGTTGGTATCTCTTTAGTGGAGGTTGAACTAGGTAAATAACAGAAGTATGCCTGAGAAAGGAAGGCAATTAGCTATCACATCCAGAACAATTGCAAGAAAATGTAACATTTAGGTAAAGAATACATTAAATCTTAATACCTGTTTAATGATTTGACAGCACATTCCTTCTCTTTGAAGACAACATAACCATTGATATTGTGTCTGTCTGAATGAAACTCTCTCCTGTGAAAACATGAATGAAATTACAGTCTGTTAGTAAATCACTGATCAGAACAAATATTTCATATTTAGTGAGTCAATATTGATCACTACAGGTATTCCATTGGTAACTTACTCAATCACATCATAAAGATCTTTCAAAAGCAATTAGCTATTTTCAATATATTAAAATTAAGCATGGCATCAAATGTTATTCATTTCTATTGTTTCTGTCTTCTTAACCTCTAACTATCCCGCTGAATTTTAATAACCTTATTTCTTGTACTTGTTGTCACTTAATTGACAAAGGTTTGATCTTTATTATAGCAAAATCTTCATATTTTGTATTCCATGTCTGGAAATACACAAATGTCTTAAAAGATCNATAGACCGACCAGCAGAATTACTCCGTCACTAGAGTGCTGGGCTTCAAAAATACCATATGAAACCATTGCAGTCTCTCTTTTTGCTCGTCTTCCAATGCCCGTGCTGCTTGCAGCTCATGGCTTTGCATGTCACGTTCGCACGCTCATGAAAGCTCACTTGAGTTGCATTCTCCTTTGCATTTTTCCCCAAAGAATTTCAAGCAAAAGAGAGACTGCTGGCAATACAGAAATAAAAGAGTGAAACTAACTAGAATAAAATGAGGTGTGGAAAACAAAAGAATGTACATATCTAGGTGAACAGTTTTGCTGGGAAGTAGTCTGTTTGAGTGTCTCAAGTCAGTCTCTTATTCCTAGTCAGGAGCATCTCATAAATAAGGCACTTTAAGCTTTCATGGCATTTCTTTCAGATTACAAATTGCTCATGAAGATCTTTTTGGTCAGCTTGTGATTGTTTCTTCCTTAAGGTGTTTAACAATCATGGAGTATCTGCAGTGCTCCTCAATGATGTTCAGCTGGAGGTGGCAGCTCATGTAGCCAATACAACATGACACACTGACAAACAGACTCCATCCCAGTGACACTGTTCACTTAGTGGTGTACATTCTTTTGTTTTCCACACCTCAATTTTTAATATTGCAGTTTCATATCTTCAATTATTTTTTTCTCAGTTTGTGGGCAGGTTTCCACCCACTCACGAACTGAATAACTCCTGTAATCTGATTGGTTCCATAAACAGTCGGAATTTTCCCTCCAACCTGCTCCAATGGGCAGAATCATCTTGTTGATCTATTTTTGTGAACGAATTAGCGATAATCGTCAATCTTTTGCCTTTTTTACACTTTACACCACCTTTAAATGGCAAGGAAAGTAACTGTAAATAAATTCCATTGAGCACTTTGAATTTGTGAGGTTTGTTTGATTTTTTGTAGCTTGGCACTAGCTATAATGGTGTGTTATCCTGTGTTTCTCTTGCCATAAAATTCTAAGTAAAAAGTGAGTCAATTTCAGTCAAGTTTACCTCTCTAATCGTTGCTGTATTTAAGAGAATTTCTGTGGAATACACTTGATGAATTTCCTCGCTTTCTGCTATTTAACTTATGGTAGAAAAGTCTGATTTCAAGTCATTCGCAACTGACATAAAATAGTTTGATGAAATAAATCTGTTCTTTAATAAATCTTTCTTTGTCTAGTATCTGAGTTACTCACTCTTTATGAAGATTTTTTACAAATCGTTGGTAGATGGCACATAAGCTGATTCAGTGACAAAGTTGCATAACACAACCATTTGTAATTGAAACCAATTACCGCAGGAAAAAACATAAACATGTTATTTTCCGGCTTAGGGTTGGTCCATATAGTGAAAAACTGTGACCTTGGGCTTGAAAATGCCCAAGAGCTCTGTACAGTTTTTCACTATATGGACCACCCAGCCAGCAAATAACATATATTTGTATACACATTTATAATATAACAATACCAATACTGTAACAATTTGTATTTGATGATGGTGACATGCTGTCCCTGAAACATCATTATTCTAAAAAAAATTTAAAACACCTTCCTTTATCAAAATCTTCCATTACACAGATTTACTTTCAATTTGACATATGATCTTTGAGAATCATTGTCCCCACCCTCTACACTTTATTTTGTACATATACCGGTAAGTGTCAGTTTCTTTAACACACACTGATAGCAAATGGAAATAATTGCTTACTTTTCTGGTAAATGCCACTGGAAGATTTCCAACAAAGATTGTCCTGGCAAGTCTCCCTGGATCCTCTTCAACTTCATTAGATTTCCTGTTTTTCATTCTAGACTTCTTGACTAGGATGCCTTCATCTTCATCATCACTTAAAAGAACAGCGATTGATCATAAATTCCTCACTGGCACATTCTTTGCAATGAATTACTATTATAAAGTGTTTTATTATATAACAGTCAGTGGTATACCGAGAGGTAACAAATTGATAAAAATGATATGATATCCTCACATGTGAAGATATCATGTGTGATAACATTTCTCTTTTGTCCCTTTAACTACAATTAAATTTGTTGGTGTATG